TCCTTTATCAGTACGGCACTGATGGCCCGGTCGGAAACTATCAGATACAAAATGAGCAGGTCACCTGCCGAAGGTGTTGTCAAGAGTGGAATTGATCGGAGGTAGGTTTTTAGGCCGTTTAAAGTAACTTCACACTCGCGGACCATTCAAAAGCCTTTCCCTGCCGTAGTGTATGGAAAAATTGTCGGCAGCGATCTGTAGACCGATTGATGAACCTGTTGAGTGCGGTAACCATCCCCATTAACTTTTGAACCTCTTTTACTGAACGAGGGGAGCCAAGCTCCAAGATTGCTGTGATTTGCCTCGGGTTGGCTTCGATTTCTCGATAGTTGACAATGTAACCCAAGAATTTGCCAGAGCCGATCCCAAACGCACATTTGGAAGCATTCAGCTTCATTTTGTATTTGCGTAAAATTTTGAATGTCTCTTCCAGATCGGCTAGATGAGTTTGCTCCTCTTTGGACTTGACCACCATGTCATCAATGTAAACTTCCATAGTGTGGCCGAGTTGCTCCTTGAACATGACAGTGACCAGTCTTTGGTAAGTTGCCCCTGCATTCTTCAGCCCAAAAGGCATAACCTTATAGCAGTAGGTTCCTCTTGGGATGAGGAATGCAGTTTTGTCTTGGTCTTCCGGATGCATGGCGATTTGATGGTAGCCTCTGTAAGCATCGAGGAAGCTCATACGCTGATGGCATGCCGTCGCATCTACAAGTTGGTCAATTCTGGGTAGTGGGAAACAATCCTTGGGGCAGGTTTTGTTTAGGTCCGTGAAATCAACGCACACTCGCCAAGTCCCATTTTCTTCTTCACAACCATATTATTAGAGAGCCACGTAGGGTAGGTCACTTCTCTAATTGCCCCGGCGTCAAGCAACCTGTCAACCTTTTCAACAACGGCAGCAATGTGCTCTGTGGCTGACCTCCGGCTTTTCTGAATGATCGACTTGCATTTAGGGTCAACATTCAAACAGTGCTGCGAAACATACGGATCTATACCCGACATCTTATATGGAGTCCATGCAAAGACATCAAGGTTGCTAAGCAGGAAAGAAATTAGCTGCTGTCTGTCAGCTTGATTTAGGGAGGCGCCGACCATGAAGAACCGTTTGGGTTTCTGTCGATTTCAACTTGATCTAGGGCTTGCGTGGCCTTTTCACGTGGAAGCCGCCCAACATCGTCGAGGCTCTCCCCATCCGGCACCTCAATAGAATTTACTTGCAACTCCTTTGGCGTCTTTCCAGCAAGGAGATAGCATGCTTGTGCCGACTTCTATGAGCCACGGATTTGCTCAATGTCGCATTCTGTCGGGAAGCGTTGCAGCTGATGATAGGTGCTTGGCACGGCCTGCATAGTATGCAACCAAGTTCGCGCCCATGATGAGATTGTACGGCGATGGTAGCTTGACGACCAAGAATTCCATATCCACTGTTCACGAGCCCCCTCGAACGGGTAATGTGATTTTTTCCAACGGGTACTCTAGATTGGCGTTGAAACAGAATAGTGGATAAGGGGCCGGAGAGAGATCTGATTCGAAGAAGCTGAGTTTGGTGAATATCTTGTAGTACATAACCTCCGATGTGCTCCCCGGATCAATGAGTACGCACTCAACTATGAATCGGTTTACGCGTAACTCAATTACCAAGGGATCGATGTAGGGAAGTGTCACTCCGGCCAAATCTGAATCATCAAAAGCAATGCTCGCAACTTCATAGGGCTGTTTAGCCGGAGTGAGTTGATTTTGAGGGTCGAGATTCGACTGAATCGTATGCATCGCGGATGACATTGGCAGGCTGTATATCATGTAGATCACGCCGAGTGAAGGGGAATCCTGTCTTAAGGCTATTGCTTTGGTTGAGTTGTCTTTTCGGACGTACTGTTGTAACCGACCATCTTGTACCAATTCCTCCAAGTGATCCTTCAATGCATAACAACTCTCAGTATCATGGCCATGGTCCTTGTGATACTCACACCGTCTATCCCGCCTTCTCGTGTCGGGAGGTCCCACCATTTTGGACGGCCATTTGAAGAACGGAAGATGTTGGACTTTGGACATAACCGCACTAATCGGCTCTGCCAACTCCATATATTTCTTATCGGCACACCTCGTGCGCCTGCTATCAACTTGCAGTTATTCATTTGCTCGGTGGGAGCATTGGTCGTTTGATCGGCAAGGATCTCGTCTCTAGTCTCATTTAGCCGGATGCCGTGGTTCACAAAATTTGTTGGCTGAGCAATTTCAGAATGGGTCGTCTTGTTGGCCACGTTTCCGGCTTTAACCCGCAAGGCGTCATCCTCCACTTTACAGTATTCCTCAACTTTCTTCATCAACGACCAGACTGTTTTGGGGGGTCTTCTAGTCAAGGAACTGCGGAGAGCACTGTCAGAATGCAAACCCATTTTGAAGGCGGTGATGGCCATGGAGTCGTTGCAAGCGTCATCAACAAGATTAAAACACTCCCAATAGCGTGCCGAATACGCTCTTAGTGTTTCTCCTGGCTGGATCTGCATTGCCCAGAGAGAGTCCGCTTGTTTCGGCTGGACCTCATTGGTGATGAATCTGGCCCTGAAGGATTTCTGTAATTGATGTAAGCTTTTGATCGAAGCCGGCTCCAGTTTATAATACCACCTGACAGCGAACGGTCTCAAACTGCTGGGAAATATTCGGTACATGAGGGCCTCGTCGTCTGCATGTAATGTCATGGCTTGCTTGTAGTGACAGATGTGATCGGTGGGGTCTGATTTTCCATCATAGAGAGTGAACGACGGAGCTTTGAACTTTTTGGGCAGAATCATCCTTGCGATCCATCGCACAAAGGGATCATGCTGGTCTTCTTCGTCTAAACTATTTCTTCTATGCTTATGCCTTATATGTGGACTCTTTTCAGAGGAACTGGAAGTTTCGAGTCATCCCTTCTTCTTGGGCTCCGGGGATAATGAGTCAGAGTCGCTATCAGTGTCTTGTTGTCAGGCTCGAGGTCGTTGACCACCTGCTCTCGAGGTCGTTCCGGATCTTGGTGTACAGCTTGTTTGGACTTCGCCACTTCCAAGGCCAAATCCTGATGGAGACGTTCGTTCTCAGCAATAATGTTCTCTAACCTCTGTTCATTTTGTTTTGCTTGTTCCATGATCGCTTGCATTGCCTCATGCTCTGAAGTCGAGTGTGAGGCGAAGTTCAAGGCGCGTCTTGCGGGGATAGTCTCAGGTCCAAGCATGTTTGTTGGAGTGAGGTCGTCTTTCTGCGTGGTTTCATCAGTGACTATCGGAGGGTCTTCTGTTACGCCCGCCATGGATGTATTTGAGTATTCCCATAGACGGCGCCAATTGTGGAGATGTGGTTTGGAAATACTCTTCAGATCCTGGTGGACACTCGTGATCCTCAGCTAGCCACCTGAAAAAGAATTAACACTCCGGTCGGGGGTGCCGAGATTAGCACTCCGACGGATAAGTCAGTGTATGTTCTCTTGATTGCTTGTATCTTAAGTTAAACATGCTAGTTCTCACATATATCTCTCTGGCTGATGTTCTTCTATTTATATCTTTTCTTTCTTGGGCCTCGAGATTGGGCCCACTTTCAATTCACCATTCGGCTTCTTTTGTAACAGATCGCTTTTCACTCGGCCCCTCGCTCAACCGGCTATTTGGCTTAATAGGGTAGGATTTGAGCGTACGGGACAGCGCCGAGTGCTATATATTTCGACCCTCCAAGTTCAACTATTCGGCCTCTTTACGACTCTCAATATTCAGCCCCCACAAAATAATATGACATAATATTAATTTTTTTATTTTAAAAATAAAGAATTTTGGTATTGATTTTTCCCAGGGGTAATAAGTTAAAAAAGATTATATATTTTGTATGAAAACATGTGTAATAATATATATATATATATATAGAGAGAGAGAGAGAGAGAGAGAGAAATGATCATAAAATATCATTTTATCCCCTAAATTATTACGCAAAAATCAATTTGGCACCTAGACTTCGCATTATTTTAATTTGACCCCTAAACTTTTTTAAATTTGATCAATTAACCCTGCCATTTTTTGTTAATATTTGGGGGGCTAATTGATTTTTAGAATATAGTTTGGGAGATAAAATAAATTTCTAAATAAAGTTTGGTAACATGCCAGTAAGTTTAGTTTGATTGTAGATGAAAACTGATTGCAGGGGTAATTTGATTAAATTTAAAAAACTTTAGGGGTTAAATTAAAATAATGCGAAGTCTAAGTGCCAAATTAATTTTTACGTAATAATTTGGGGAGCAAATTTCTCGAGAAATTCTCCATCCTTTCTTTTCATCACCCTCAATTGCACCCTTAATGAGATGACAAACAATAACAATCAATCAACGCTCTTCAAAGTGTAGAACCACTTTATATAAAAATGAGTCATATCATTAAGAGTGAAATTAGGGACGTAAAATTTAAAAAAATATATATAGATAATACCAGTAGATATATATTATATATATATATTTATTTATTTATTTATTTATGCATTCCACCTTAACATGACAGTAACAATAATTCTAAAAATACAAATGTTACACAAAATGAAAGAAATAAAGATAGGTCCCACATAATGGGAGATCTACATATGGTACCCATAATTTTATCTCACATGTGTTATATTCTGTGGAATAATTATGTGTTTCTAGCACAAATGTTTTAAAAATCAGATCAGTGAACGAACCAGAAAATGAATCGGGGTAGACGGATCACTGGTCAGGGACAGATCTAGGATTATGACTTTGGGGGGGGGGCAAAGTACGTTTAACCTCTAACCAATAAAATTTGAAGTTCAATACCAATTTCTACTAACATGAAAAAAATCAACAATGTTACAATAAAATATTGAACTATATATTCCTTGTCAACATAGTTGAGTACCAAAAGATGATCATACAATTGATAATATTTTTTTGCCCATATTCACTTACAAAAAGTATTAACTATTTCTACGTGCATTTATTTACTAAAAGTAGGCATCTTCAATTGAGCTCAACGCTCTTTCATAATATCAAAAGCATGAATGATAGAGTCTACAACAAACCTTCGAGCAATGTCTTTTTCAATGTACGTAATCAAGTAACTAGCGAGAAAACCATCTTCCATCCTATTGCACAATTTAGACTTAACGAGTTTCAAAACTGAAAATGCACGTTCCAATATAGCAGTTGAAACAGGTAAAGTCAACATAAGACGGATCAATCTATTAATAAGAGGATAACTTGTTAACTTTTTGTTTTTGCCAACATTTGACACAACTTAGAAATGGTTGACAGCTTCTGAAACTCGGGAAGTATGGAAATATCAAGCTTATAGTTTTCCAACTGATACTTCAAATGCAATTTTTCTTGCACGGAGAAATCCATGGGATAAAATTTATTTGCAAGATTGCAAATATCCTCAATTTTGAATGATCTATAACCATCCCAAAGATCCAAAGCTGAGCTAAGAACAAGCAATTCTATTACATCTCCCTTAAACCAATTGTTTAATTCTTGTAACTGAGAATCAACTATAACCATAAAAATATGAACTCGAAAATGATGTTCCACGGTAAGCTGACCTTTTTCAGAACGAGACCGACCTTGGCAAAGGACAGCTCATATCAGGAATCTATATACCATGATCATTAGAAAATAATTTAATTTTCTCCAACAATGGAACCCATTCATCTTCTCTAAATTTTTGAATAAGTATCTTCGTTGTAGACACCAAATGCATTGCATTTAATATATCTTGAGATTTACTTTGCAAAGCTTGGCAAATATCATCAGTAATCTCCATGATATCCCTCATAAGATGTAAGATGAAGACAAACTCAAAAGATGTAATGGAATCATAAACTCCATCCGCCTCAGCTTGTTGATTCAGGCCTCGTTTGGGATACTACCTTTTTAGCCAATTAGTCAAAAAGTTACTAAATTAGCCAATTAGCCAATTAGTCATACCAAAAAGTCAACAATTACGGCTTCTCTCTACTTTTTGCACAGCTTTTCGTAATTAGTCAAAAGTCATCCCAAACATACAAGTTTTTTTTACCTACCTTTTTAGCCAATTAGCCAAAAAGTTACTAAATTAGCCTGTTCCCAAACGAGGCCTCAATTTGCTTCCATGATTAATTATGTTTTTTAGGACTGCACAAGTAGCACTAAACATGTTTATCAAACTACAAATGGAACCCAAATGAGAACCCCATCGAGTATCTCCAGCCCGTTTCAATGTTCCAATCTGATTTTTTCCTTTACCAGTCTCGAATTCATCATCAATGGCAAGCTTTTCAACAATATCTGCAGTCTGACCAGCTCTTAATTAATCATGTCTTTTGCAATATGAGCCAACTATATTAATTGCTCGAGTCAAGTAAGAGAAAAATTGATTGATAGATATAACCTGTTTAGATGCTCCTACTAAAGCCAATTGGAGCCGATGAACAAAGCAATGAACATAATATGCGAATGGACACTCAGCACAAAATACAGCCTGCAACCCAGTCCATTCTCCAGACATGTTACTGGCAACATCATATCCCTAACCATGAATATTTTGCACACTAAGGTTATGACGAGAAAGGACAATACAAATTTCTTCTTTCAAAATTGCCGACGTGGTGTCTAACACATGAACTATGTCAAAGAAATGCTCTTTTATAAAACCATATTTATCAACAAATCTCAAAATAATTGCCATTTTCCCTCTTTTCGATTCACCTTCAGATTCATCAACTATAATGCAAAAATTCCCATCATTAATCTCCCAACAAATGAATTTTCCAGTGAGAGTCCACGTTTCCACCATCCAGGCCGACAGCTCCGACGAAGCCTCCACCAGACCACTGACAACAAAGCATCTCCGTATCCCTCGTCTCTTTGCTCCTCTCTTTTGCAGAATCCCAGCAAGTCTCTCAGATCAAATCAGTTGTTTTCTTTTCTTTTTTTTAATCTTAGTGCTTTGTTTAAAGCTTCTCCAGCTAGCCTTATAGTTTATATATTTGTAAAAGTTTCATATTTTACATTTTGACCCACTAAAGTTTCTAAAATTTTGCTTTCATCTTGACCTAATTTAAAAAATACATATACATGAAATTTAAAATAGATTACTATATATGTTAACTAATTCAAAAAAAAAATCCAAATAGTTTAAAAAATTGGGAGGCTACTCTATATAATTTTGAAATTATTTAAAAAAAAATTGGGGGTACAAACTCCTATAATTTTAAATTATTTTAAAATTTCTAGTATAATATATGATATTTTTCAAATTTTTTGGGGTGTAGCCGCCCCCCTAGATCCATCCTTGGGTTCAACTGTCGGGGTTGAACCAGAATTGAACCATGATGTAATAAATATATTAAAATTATATTTAAATAAAAATATAGTAATAAAATTATAAATTATAAATATTAAATTATCTTAAATATTTCTCCTAATATTTTTTTTACTAAAAAATATAATAATATATCTTAAAATATTATTAATTTTAATTTTGGAAGAGGAAATCAAATATTCAATATTCCCTCCATATAATTTTAATTCAAATAATTTGATTGAAAGAATGGCAAAAAATTTGGAGGGATATCAAAATTTCAAGTCTCCCTCTAATATATTTGATTGAATCCTACATAGATTCCTTGAGTTTTTTTTAAAAAAAGTTTTTTTCTTATAAATAGGTAGGAACTTTCACAATAATTTCAAGTTCCTAATGGAATTCTTCACAAGACGAGATCCTTAAAAGAGAGTTTCCAATTAAAATTTTCTTATATATATATATATAAAATAAGAAAGAAAGAATGGAAAGAAAGAAATAATAAAAAAAAAGTTTGAAAATATCAAACAAAAAGTTCAAAATTTTTAATTTCATCTACCTACCGAACCGGTCCCGGTTCGGCGATTCAACCGCCGGTTTTCCCGGTTCTCTCAAAATAAGTCGGTTTTTGGTTTCGAACGGTTTAGAGGGTATATTCGGACCGAAACATCGACCGGTCGACGATTCAACCAGCTAAACCAGCCGGTCCAGTCCAGTTTTCAAAACCATGCCTAGCATAAATTTTGACATTAAAGGGTGGTTTTGAATGATCTAAATAAGTGCACTTTTTGACTTTTTATAAAATATGGATTGGGTTTGAAATGATGTGGGAGAGAGGTGATGTGACTTAAATAGGATAGTGACTTTTTACCTTTTTTAGATTATGATAAACAAGGCCTAATATATTATTTTTATAGCATTTTTATGTATAAAATTTGAATATAAAGAGTTTTACTTTATATTAAAATAGTAATTAGATGGAAATATAAGGGTGTGGGCAGTACAATTTGGTACTATTTAAGGGTAAAATTATAAATTAAATTGTAAATGGTGAATTAACAAATAAACAAAAGCGTTTTGAGCAGTTTCAATTTCTTAGTTGATTGAAAAATAATTTTAAAAAGCAAATATGCTAGCGGCCCAAATTAATCCACCTAAAAAATTGTGGGTGGGTGATTGTGTGGTATAAATTAATTTGTGTAGCTCTATGTGTAGAATAAATCTAATTCACAAGATAAAAATTTTGGATAATTTTTGGATTGATAAAGGTAGATTCGTAGTATTACTCTTTAAACAATTATCGAACATTTGTATAAATATATAATACTCCCCCGTCTCAAAATATTAGTCTCTTATTCTATTTTCATTCTCCCAAAATATTAGTCAATTTTTAAAAATTAAGGAATAAAATAATATGAATTTACTATGTTGCCCTTCTTTTAAATTTATTAATAACACAAAAAGTACAATTATGACAATTGATATTCCCAAAAAAATGTATTATCAAAAGATAATTTTGAAAAATTAAATATTTTAAAATGTAATAATTGTATTATAAAAAAAAATGGATTTCCCAAAAGAGACTATTATTTTAGGACGGAGGGCATACTAATTTACATAATATTTTTCATATATAAAACACTAATTTACAACAAATTTCACATTTTAAATCTCTGTCACATTAATTTTACTTTGATATTTCATTAGAAGAAAATATATATATGTATTAATTATAACAGAGCGGAATGATTTCGAAAACGAATTATAAATTTTAAATTATAGATCAAATTAGCTTGTTATTAGCGAACTAATCAATATAAATTAACAAATCAATATGAATTAAGCGATATTTTGCACCTTTACAATCTATTAATGGTTTTGTAAGAGTATATATTTTTTTAATGATTACGTAAGCTTTTTGAATCAAATAAATAGAAGTTTAGGCCTCGTTTGGCAACAAGTTGGTTTAGTCAAAAAGCCAAAAGTTACTAAAAAGGTCAAAAAGCTAATAATTCATAACAAAAAGTCAAAGATTCTCTTTTTTCTCTACTTTTTTCACATCTTTTCATAAAAAGCTAAAAAGTTATCCTAAACATACTAATTTGTTTTAGCTCATATTTTAATCAAATAGTCAAAAAATTACTAAGCCTCCGTTTGGGAAGTGGGTTGGTTTTTTGGTTTTTTTTGGCTATTTTAGCCTGGGCTAAAAGTTTGGTTTGGGAAGGACTTTTTGGCTTTTTGGTTTTTTTGGCTTTTTTTGTGAGAGAAGAATGTAATGATTATGGGTTGGATGTGATATTTTGTTTTTTGTGACTAAAATAGTCTATTTTGTCTTTCATAACTAAAATAACCAAAAAAATCCTGTTTAACTCTTACCAAACGGAACCTAAATTAACCTGTTCTCAAACGAGGCCATAATATAAAATTTGATACACGGTTATTCATAGTTTATTAAAGTTCACTGGTCTAATACATGGACATCCCGGTTTATTCGTTTATTTCCGCTCATGTGTACAAGTTTATTCATAATAAAATTCAATGAGATTCATATCCGTTATCATTGGTTTGACTTTTAAAATATGTTTTTATTATAAGAAAAAAAAAATCAAAAATTTACAAAATTTAACAATAATTTGGTAAAAAAATTTTAAAACATATTTGTCATTTTATATAGAATAATGCTTGGGACCCCCTTTTGGGGGCCACCCCCTCACCCCCCTTTGCCACGTGGAAGGTGGTGATTGGATGAGCATGAAAAAAAAGAAAAAGAAAAAGAAAAGGTAACCAATGAGAGAGAGAGGGGGTCAAAGGGGGTGGGGGAAAAGGGGATGAATCATTACTCTTTTATATAACTTTATTTTTTGGAATCCATCATTTTGTGATACATATGTTTTCTATTTTTTGAAATAATTATGTATTTCTAACACTCCACTGACATTAATATATTATTTTTGTAGCATTTTTTATATACAGATTTTGAATATAAAGGACTTTACTGATATTAAAATAATTATAAGCCCAAAATATATTTTTTACACCTGGCTGGCTGTCGTAATCTATTTTAATCAGTACGTAAGATTTTTTTTTTTTTTTAATAATGATTATGTAAGCTTAGAAGACCCGATTGCACACCGTGGTGATTGCTGTGTGCTTCGTAGAGCCTGTTTTAAGTCTTATTTTAATGGTTTAAATTATTTATTTTTTAAAAAAATATAGAATATAATAAATTTATAAAAATATTAACTTGGTCGAATATCAATATCATTTTCATCACATTACATTTGTAAATACAAAAATGAATTGTAAATATGATTGTAAGTATAAAATTAAAGATGAATATCATTAAATGAAAATGTTATTAATATCTGATTAATTTAATTTTTTATAATTATATTTTACTTGATTTTTTTTTTAAAAAGATTAATTTAATTTTTTATAATTATATTTTACTTGATTTTTTTAAAAAATAATAATAATTTGTATCGTTAAAATAGAACTCAAAACGAGTCTCACGAGACGTACAATAGTGAGAAGACCGGATAGCAATGGAATATAAAATTTACTTATATTAAGATAAAGGATTTTACTTATATTAAAATAGTAATTAGACAAAAATATATTTTTTACACATGACTAGCTGTCGTAATCTATTTTTTTTTTTTTTTTTTTTTTTTTTTTTTAACGATTATGTAAGCTTAAAAGAGCGGACATGGGTCACTATTATGCAGTGCACACAGGGATGATTGTTGTGTGTCTGGTAGAGTTCATTTTAAGTTTTATTTTAATGATTTAAGTTATTTATTTTTTAAGAAATATCGAATATATATCTGTAAAAAATTAAGTTGGTCGAATATCAATATTACTTTTATCAAATCACATTTGTAAATACAAAAATGAATTGTAAATATGATTGTAGGTATAAAACTAAATATAAATACAATTAGATGAAAATGTTATTAATATCCGATTAATTTAATTTTTTTATAATTATATTTTACTTGATTTTTTTTTTTAAAAATAATAATTTAAATCATTAAAATAGACCTTAAAACCAGTCTAACGAGGCATACAACAGTGAAAAGCCCGGATAGCGGTGGAATATAAAATTTCAATATAAATTTTACTGGTCCAATACATCCCGTTTTATTCGTTTATTTCACCTCTTGTGTACGAGTCATCCATAACAAAATTTACTGAGATTGATATCCGCTATCTTTGGTTTGATTTTTAGAATCCTTTTTTATTAAAAAAATTTAAAAATTAAAATTAATTTAGTTAAAAAAATAAAAATACTTATCATTTTATATAATTTTATCTTTTGGGGGTTAAAAATAATTTTTTAAAATTTAAAAATATCCCTTTGATATTTATTTTGGTCAAATTAATTTCTATTTAAAACAATAAAATAAAATAATTTTAGAAAAACAAATCGAACATGGTCCATAATTGTAGCACATGATTTTATTATTTCTTTTTAAAGTGTGAAAGGTAAGTATTTGAAAATAAGTATTACATTTAAATTATTTTTTTTTTGCAAGATTGAGATGGTGTTTGATAAGTCAATTCAATATTTAAATTTTCATGTATTAAAATAAGTTTGTTTGATAACTATATTCATATTAAATTCTTAAAATGTGGTCTACAAACTTTTTTTTATTTTTTTTATTTTTAAGTAATTCAAAACTTACTGACTTAATTTACTACTTATATATAAATATTAACATGTATCACTATGATCTCACCACCATCGTGTGCCATCACTACCACTCCTACCCCAACCCCACCACCACGACCACATCTAATATCGTTGCTACCGCTACTATACCTAACCCCACTCCCACCGTCATTGCTACCACCACCTCTACCACCACCATCATCACCATCACCAAAAGTACCACCATGGTTACTGCTACCACAATAACTACTACTATTACTGTCACAATTCTCCATCTTTACCACCATCACTAGTCATGGCCACAACCAACATTGTATCACCACAAACTACCACCACCTGTCTATCTCAAATAAACCACCCCTTTACCATCACCACAACCACTTTCACACCACTACCATCACCACCATTGCCACCACTCCTACAACCATCACTATCATCTTACCACCACAATATAGAAATAAGACGAGAAAATTTGAAAATAATAATTTTAAATTTCATCATATAAATATATATATATATATATATATATCAAATTACTTGTTTTAATTCAGTACTTAACATTTTATCAAATTATTTTTTAACCTAAAAAATTTAGCATTTAGTTTTCACTACTTAATTGTTAGCTTTCAATTTCCACTTTTATCAAACACCACTTAAGATGATGTTTGATGCAGGTTTTTATAAGTTGAAATTTGATTTATAGAAAACTAGCTAGTGTTAAAAACACTCCAATTTTCTTTTTTCTTTTTTTTTTCTTTTTTCTTTTTTTTTTAAAGTTTAGCTAAACTATTTTTATCTAATAAGTTATAAAAATAAAAAAAATGCACCAAACACTTTGCCTAGACTCTTAAAATTTGAAAATATAAGTAACTCTAACAAATTACACCAAACTTTTGATAGGTTTTATTTATTTACTTATTCGAAAATTCTCCGGTGTGCACCCCTTTATATGCAACCTACGATGAAAATATATAATTTTACTATAAATTTTTTAAATATCAATCACAAAATGTATTATCTCTCCATAAATTAGCGTAACAAAAATTTCATAACTAAGGCCTCGTTTGGGAACATGCTAATTTAGTAACTTTTTGGCTATTTGGCTAAAAAGGTAGGTAAAAAAAACTTGTATGTTTGGGATGACTTTTTGACTAATTACGAAAAGATGTGCAAAAAGTAAAGAGAAAAGAGAATCTTTGACTTTTTGGTATGAGTTGTTGGCTTTTTGGCTAATTTAGTAACTTTTTGGCTAATTGGCTAAAATAGCCTCTTGCCAAACGAGGCCTAAGTCACAAACTTTTGTAACATCAACCACAAAATTTTGGACATTTTCGTTACGCTAATTTGTAGTAAGATTACACATTCTATGATTGATATTTTAACATTTATAATAAAATTACGCTAATTTATTTATTAAGCAATAGTTCTTATATTCAGTCGGTTTCTTTTCCTAGACACCTGCTGAATAGGGAATTTGGTTTGTTGTTGAAAATGTTCTACTAACATTAATGCATGGTTCATGGTTTGGGGTAACTCTATGGTTAGAGTAGTTTTGACTTTTACTGGCATATTTTTCAATGAGTTGATAAAGGTGTCAATGTGTATTTCATTTTAAGATTTTAAGTCAAGTTATAGTTTTTCTAGGAAAAAAATTAACAATAACTCCTCCCCACAATAACTTAACAGCAATGTTAGATATCATGAAAAACCTTTCATAAAAATAATCATGAAAGTTTTGTGACCCTTGGATTAAACTTATAATAAAACACTACACACTAATCAAAGTAATCAAAGGATCATAAATCTTTCATGATCATTTTCATGAAAAACATTTTATGATCCCTAACTTTTCCATAACTTAATTTTTAACAATAACTCCTAAAAAAAATTTCAGAACATTTTTATGAAATAAAAATAAATTAAATAATTAAAAAGACTAAATTTTTAAAAATAGATTAAAAAAATACTTTTTTAACTTTATAAACTCCATTATTTTTATTTTATTTTTATAATATCCTACTTATATATTATTAAAAATGCTAGAAATTTCTAATAAATTACAAACTAAGTTACAATGATGTGGGGGTCTCCTACATATATGGATGTGCAACTTACCCTTTATTGTGAGTGATTGATAATTTAATTTGCAATTATTAAGAATTTGTAGAAGGATGGTCATATTAAACGACATGTTTAAATGACAGTTTAATTGATAATATATAGAAATTTAATTAATAATTCAATTTTTTTTTAAAAAAAATAACTCGTTAGAGATATTTACTTTTTTCATTAAAAAATATATTAAATGATTTGTTAGAATTAACCGATTATATATTGAATTTAATTAATAATTTATAATTTATAAAATAAAAAAATGGTGTGTTAGATTTATTTAGTTATGCTCTCATGAAATAATATTTTCACAAAGTTTATGTAAAAAATTATTTTCAATTAATGATGTACCAAACTAACTCAATATTCTTTTAGCGTAAATTATAAATACTAAAGTGTCATTTTGAAAATTACATCTCGTCCTTTAAATTTTCTAATCATATAACAAATAATCCTTTCATTAATCAACTATTTTAACGATGTTAGTCATTCATTATTGTATATAGTATAGTTAAGAACATCATTTTTCTGTCAATTCTGTAAAATGACAAATTTTGACAATAAGTATATTTATAATTTTTAGAACTACAACTAGCAATCTGCATTTTAAACAAACTCAAAAATTATATTTGTAATTTTTCTTTCTTTCTTTTTATTTTTTTATTTTTATTTTTTTTATACACACCTTAACTTCTAGACAAAATTTTTTATTTTGCCCTTGACTACTACCACAGGTAAATAAGTCATAGCTTGCAGGTATGCTGGTTATTCCCACACGGAAGATTTATAGCAGTCAAAGGATTCCACGGTTGATTTACTATTATGGTTGCTGGGTTCATTTTTATATTTGTATGTAATTGTCTTGTTTTAAGGAACATAGGAACCAAAAAAGGACAGTGAAATTTGTAAAAAAAATAAATAATAATTACTGAGATTTCACAACATAAAGTTCCAAGAATGTTATTAAGTCAACACAAGTTGATATTTGTATGTAATTGTCTTGTTTTGTTCCAATGGTACTTTTCTGTTGGATGTGGTTCTTGGGTTGTTATCTTAACAACTGTGTGCGGGTGCTTCTCTTTTAGCGTTCAGTCATCAAGACAAAGAGTGTGAAGGGGCTAGAAAAATGGTGAACAAAGTTAGAGACGGTGGTTGGATTCCGATAGTGAGGCAATGGAGAGAAGGTGGAGCACAAAATAAGGAAGCACAACATGGCCTTTTCACTGTCTTTGTGGACAATATCCCGTCAACTATGGATGCTAAAGCTCTGTACAAACTCTTCATCAAGTTCGGGATTGTGAAGGATACTTACATCCCTTTCAAAAGAAGGAGAGTGACCAATTCAAGATTCGGGTTTGTGCGTTATAACTGCAACATAGCAGCATCTGTCGCAATCCAAAAAGGGAATGTGCTTTTGGTGGATGACTCTATGCTAGAGGTCAAAATGGCCGCTTATGACAGAAATAGCAGAAGTGAACAGAGTAAGAGAAAGCTTCAGCCTCCCAGAAGATTCTCGGATTCAATTAATTTCAAGGGTAAAGCTGCATTTGTGGGTGAAATTTTGTTTCTTATTATTAAATTTATACCGAATGCTAAATTTATAATCAATACACCACTTGCATGCAGCAACAAACTTATGCATACTCTACATTATCTGTATGAAAAATCTTATTGCCTTGTTTTGGTCATTGTATTTTGACTTTTATATTATTTTGGTTCCTATAATTTCAATTAAATCAATTTTGATTTTAAATTTTTACTTTATCTCAAATTAGTCCAATCGATTTCAATTCTTAACATTCTTTTATAATTTTTTTAGTTTATACCACTTCTAAGTATATATCATGCAAACACCCAACAAATTTACACATACAAGTAGGTGACCTTTCTCAACATATGCTCTAAATTATTTATGTCTATTTAGTTTGATTTTTCAAAATCTGTTTTTAGATTAAAAAAAAAATTTAATATTCTTAGTGAATTTTTTTTTTAACATTTTAATCATTGTTTTGTACTTTTTAGATATACTTAATCAAGATGCATCTAATAAGTAAAATAAATTGGCTAAAATATTTTAAAAAGGGTTTATTACACTTTCTACGCTTGAACTATTATCAAATTATCTACTTAAATCTTGAACTATCGATTGAATCTACTAAAGTATATAAATCAATGTTTATTTAATCCCTAAACTATCAATGGAATCTATTAAAGTCACTAAAATGTTTAATTCAAACCTATTTAGTCCTTAACAGGATTACAAAAATAAAATATAAACCCAAAAATATTATAAATTAATAAAAGACCTAATTAATAATTTATTCTAAAAAGATGTTGAATTTTTATTTTGTTTTGAAAAAGTGTTTTATTTCAATGTGTGTTTAAATTAGTATTAGAGTCTGGCTTCTCAGTTTTGCCAATGAAACTATACGACTATTGATATACTGACAAAATATAATAAAATAATTTAAATAATAATACTTCACAACAAATAATAATAAAACCAAATAATTCATTAATTAAGTTACAAAAAAAAATTTACTGAAAAATTTAAAGACAATTAATTAAAAAACTATAAACAAAATTGAAATATAATATTAGATAAATCAAACGACTAGTCATTGTAGAAGATAAGTAAGAAAATATACCTCTTAACTAAATCCTTAAAAAATACTAAAAATATACGAAAATTTGAACACAAATTTGTGTGTATTTTTGTTGGAGTTTTTGTTTGTTTTTAGTGAAATTTTTTTCTTCATATTTTAGTCAATTTTATTCTTTTTACTTTTTAAATGTATCTAATCTTGATGTAACTACAAAATAATAATAATAAATTGACTAAAATATGAAAAAAAAAAATTAGTGAAAGCAAACGAAAACTCGTTTAAAATTAGTTTCTAAGATTTGTAACCAAAAACGCTTTTATTTTTTGGGAAATTACAAAAATAAAATCAGGTTAGACTATTATAATAAAATAAATCTTAAAATTTTAAATTTGTCAATTTAAATCCTAAATCTTTAATTTATTTTTAATTTGAATCATTTATCTATTTTTGTATGTAAAATCTACCCAAATATATATATATATATTTAGGAATTTTATATTTACATTGAGTTTAATGAATAAAATGCAATTTTTTGGTTCGATTTACACTACAAGAATTAAGGTTTTAGAGATAAAAATTTAAGAATAAAATCACTTTTTAGAGACAAACTGTTTTTCTCGCCAAAAGTGTTATTATTTTATTTTTAGTGACAAAATTGAATGTTTAGTGATGAATTATTAAGCTTTTAGGACCAAAAGTTTTGTCTAACAAAATAAACCTTTTTTTTTGTTCCTTTTTAGTGACATTTTCAAAATTGTCTCTAAAAGCTCTTTTTTTGTTTTTTTACTTCTCGGGACGACCTGTTAACGATTGTCCTCACGATAACTAAAATAAATTCTTAAATATTTTTTGCAACAAAATTTATACTTCTAAAGACAAAAAAAAACTTGGTCTAAAAAACTCTTATAAATATTGTAGTGTTAGTTAATGAAAATAGACGAATAATTTAGATTAAAAACAACTCAAAATATTAAAATTTGAATTACTTAAATTATAAATGGTTAGAAGGGTCAGATTTAAAAATAAAATAAAAAAATTGCAATTATCTTTTTTTAATTTTATTTTTTCAGCATCTGCATGTTATGGGTACCAAGACAAAGGGAAAATGATAGCGGCGGCAAGTGATGCCATAGGGGGAAAGAAGGCGTGTGGAAGAAAGTACAAGGTGACGTGTACAGGTCCGACAAATAAGGGTGTGCCACATCCTTGCACTGGTAAGAGCGTAGTAGTAACCATTGTTGATTACTGTCCACCTGGCTGTCGTGCAACCATCGATCTCTCTCAAGATGCTTTCGCCATTGTTGCTGACCGCAATGCTGGCAAAATCAATATCAAATATACTCAGTAAGCCCAATTTTTTTTCTTTTGGTACTTCGGAAAGGAATCAGTAAGCCCAATTAACTCTATTTGTGGGTGATAAATGAACTAAATAGTTTGATTCCGGCTTATGTTTTACTCTTTAAAAGTTTATTTGAGTTCAGTTTATTAAGTAAATAAATTAAATTTGAATATATTCTGAAACTCATTAAAAAAATTTAAATCAAACTTGAACAATTAACTGTTCAGCTCGTTTATTACTCATAACTCTCATTCAAGATATAAATAACTCTAGGTTAAATTACACTGACACTCCCTGAGGTTTATATTTATTATAGTTCTCTTCTCACATTTTGGAAATTACATCTCCTCCTGAGGTTTAAAGTTTCATTTCAGATTCTTCCTTCAGTAATTTTATCTTTCGAGTGGTTAGAAATAATTTTTTACAAATTAAATTGAAACAACTATACGTATGTATATAACATGTCCAAAAGTTAAAATGATAATTATTTTTTACCCTTAAATGATAATTATTTTTTATTTATTAACCAAATTAATTTTTAATTTTTTTTAAAAAAAATTCTAAAAATCAAACCATACATAACCTAAGAATATTTTAATAAGTCATTTCTTACGTTGGTAACTTATTTAATTATTTGTTAATTTTACGACATTTTTACCATCAAGCCTGTTTGGTAACCATTTCGTTTTCAGTTTTCAATTTATTTTTACAAAAATTTAAAAAACTGTCATAAAAACTTGTTTGATAATTTTTTTGGTTTATAAATGGTTGTCTCAGTTTGTAAATTTGAAAAAAAAAACATAAATTCAAAAAATGAGCTTACGTTGGTTTTTAAACAGAAATTTAAAAACTTTACTAACAAAAAAATTTCCAATTAATTTTTTTTTCAAACTAATACTAACTGAGGGGGCAATTAGTAATGCTACTTAAACCTTAGGGAGAGGATTGTAATTTCTAAAATATGAGGGGTGTCAATGTAATTTACCCAATGAAGGCAAAATTGGTATTTAAAAAAATTAAATTACTGAATGGGCGAATCTGTAATGAAACTTTAAACCTCAGGGGAGAGATGTAATTTCCAAAAGGTGAGGGGGGGACTGTAATAAATATAAACCTCATGGGTGTTAGTGTAATTTACCCATAACTTCTATTTAGCTATTCAATTTTTAAAATCATATTTTGACTTTTGAATTCATATTTTTTTTTTAGTGATTTTTTTAATATTTTGATCATTTTTAAAATTAAAAAAAAATAGATATGTTCAAAAAGTATAATATTTATAAAAAATTATTACAAGTTTAATAAATACTACAAAATACAAAAATATAAAAATTCAATACATTTTCATTTTCTTTGTATTTATTTAATTTTACAAAAAATTATTTACAAATATTTTACTTTTTGAGTACATTTACAAAATTTTTAAAAAAAATTTGAACAAAATACTAAATAAATCCACTAAAAATAATATATATATATATATATATATATATATATGAATTGAAAACTCAAAATCTAATTTTGAAAACTAAATAAGCAAACATAATGTTCGGTTTAGAGTTTTTAAAAGGAAAATGTTTGACATCCATTAAAAATTCTCACAATTTGACCTATAATGATATTGTAGGATAGATGTCAATTTTTAAATTATCATATACTCAATGATATAAGATCTAACTCATTTGCCACATTATTATGTGTGATTTTGTGGGTCTAAATTGTAGGTCACTGGCATTACTATTTTCAAAAACAGTTTTTTAAGTTTTTAATATGCATTTTTTTTAGTGATTTGTTAAAACATTTTAATAATTTTTTTAATTTTTTTAGATTCATGTAATTTAGTACACTCAAACAAGTACGAAATTTATACAATTTTTTTTCTTTGAAAACTCATTGAATCCAAATAATATATATATATATATATATTCAGTATATTTTCATATTTTGTTATATTCAATAAATTTTTAAAGAATTTTTGTATAAATTTTATACTCACTAAGTGTATCTAGATTCAAATGATTTAAAAAGTAAAAAAATTAACTAAAATATTAAAAAAATTTACTAAAAAAATATGGATTGAAAATTTAAAAACTGTTTTTGAAAATTTTAAACCAAACAAATGTTATGTACAATATTAAGGGGAAATTACCAATATATATATATATATATATATATATTCTTTACATTTGATGCTTGTAACAAAATAAATCCTGAATTTTTAATTATATCAATTTATTCACATTAAGTTTAATAATTAAAATACGATTTTTTGGGGGTCAATTTTACTCAATGAAAATATGTAAATTATTTGTATTGAAAATAAATCAAAAGATTATAGTTTAAGTTGACAAAATTAAAAATTCAGGATTTAGTTTGTTACAAAACTCAAATTCAGAAGGAAAAAAAAAAATTGTAATTTTTTTTAAAATAATATTAATTTTCACTGCATTTTTTTTTTACCGTTAGTAAAAATGCATATAAATTTCTTTAAATCATGTATTTTAGTGGTTAAGCATTTAAATAAAATAGTTGTCGATAAAAATATCATCACTGATTGCTCTCTCTCTCTCTCTCTCTCTCTCTCTCTCTCTCTCTTGTTGTGATTTTGCAGGGTCTGAAGCTATACTATATACGAAAGATTTGGAAGGGACAAGCTTATATTATAATATAGAAATAACACAAGCATGTCATGGAATTTGTATGTTCCATGAGTTATCTTGTAACCATGCAATGCATCTGTATCAGTGGAATAAATGAAAGTCCTTTCGAAGCTTCTAAGATTTTGCAGTTTTATGGTACTTTAAAAATATCTAAAATGTTGGTGACATCTTTTTAGAAAAATTATAAAAGAAAAATAAAAAAATCTAAGATTTGATTTGTAATAAAATAAATTTTGAGTTTTAATCTTCTTTTTAATTTAAATCTTAAATATTTTATTTATTTCAATTTAAACCATTTGTTTATTTTTTGTTAGGTAAAATCGATTAAAAAAGAGTATTTTAGTCATTAAACTAATGAAAAAATATATTTTGGACAATTATGTACACCTACATTGAGTTTAATAACTAAAATATTATTTATTTCATTGGTTTTACGTAACGAAAATAGA